AAATGTTATACTTTACTATATAGAGAGTCAGTGTTGCATCGTAGATAGAGAGCTGGACTCATGGGAAGACCTGCATTTAAGTACTGTCTCTGACACATAGTGGCTGAATGCTTCAGGCAAGTCACTTAACCAGGACTGCATCAGTTAACTCATAAGTTGAAGTTCACAATTTGCATTGGTAGAAGGACTTTGCTTTTTCCTACACTAATGAAGTCACAAGTGTGTACCAAAAAAAAAATTCTTTACCATTCCTCCAATATGGATGATATGCATACTACTTTAAGGAACAGATGACCAAATTATATTTTTAAAATAAATAATATGTACACATATGTATACACATATATGCATATATGACTATATATTGTGCATATTGTATATTCGTGTGTAATAGATACACATATGTCCATATGTATACATATGTAAGTAGATGCTTAATAAATGTTGATTGATAAATGTGTATATATACCTATATGAAAACACTTCTTAAAGTTTAAAGTGCTATGTACAAGGAAATGGTGCTTGAACTGGAATACACTGAATAACCTGTTTTTTCATATGGAATAGATCTTCACTGGATAAATGTTTTTTCCCTTTATTTTACTTTTAGGCCTGAATTACTAGAGCAACTTTGGAAAGCCAGAGCTGAAAAAAGGAAGCTACGCAAAACATTACGGGAATTTGAAGAAGCATTTTATCAACAAAATGGAAGGTTTGTTGTTGGCAAAATAACCATCAAAGCAGTGACATAGTCTATCCCCACTCTGTTCCAACAAACTTTTAGGGTTACTGTTATATATGAAGTGATTTTCTTTTTTACGATGAGAAATCGGTCTAATTCTACAGGCAGGCTTGCTACATTTTAACTTATTACAGACTTTGAAATATAGTTTGAAAACCACTCTGACAATTCCCTTCTTGCTCACACAAAATGAGGAAATATCAGAGGTACATAGTAGGTGCTGTTATATATGCAAGTGAATATCTGATAAAATATTCACAGGATAATGGAGAGGTGGATTTTGCTCCTTTAAACAGCTTCATGGCTGGGGTAGTTCATTCACCTGGGAGCAAAGAGGAGGAAAGAAGCCAAGGGGCAAACTAAATGTAGTTCTCTCAGTTTGAGTGGATTCTTAATAGTGGCTAAAAGAGCCCTCTTTGGAGTAAGGGAGTCGGAGACATGGGTTCAAATCCTGTTTCTGACACATAACTGTGTAACCATGGGCCAAGTCACTTCAGCCCTAAGTGCCCAAGGCAACTCTGAGACAGAGTCTACATTAGGAGAGGGAGTTTCCTACACCCTTGACATTACAGGTGGAGAGAGAGAGAGACAGACAGACTGCCCTTCTTCCTTTAGTCCAGAAAGTGCTTAGAAAGCATATTGAGTCAAGCTGGCTATGCCTGGTTGTATTACGTTTTATGTTATTGGCCTTTTGGAGTAAACCTTAGAGTCAGAACCCCTCAGGTGTGTGACTTAAGAGATCTTAGGATCAATGGATCATAAAATTGAGGACTTCGGGAGACCATTGAGTCCAACCCCCTTATTTTACAGATGAAATTGAGGTTGAGAGAAGTGAAGTGACTTGCCCAGGGTCTCCCAGCTAAATGAGTCAGGATTTGAATTCAGGTGTGCTTTAACTGATTGCTTAAGATTAAGAAAAACTTGCTTCTTATTGATTAGAAATTCAGATGATGAGTCTGAAATGACCTTTAAATGCATTGTTTCGGACTCCAGAAAGAATTCGAAACTGGGATGTCTTGACAGTTAATGACTTTTAAGAATAGCAGCTTAGGGAATATTGCCTTTCAATTAAACCTCCCTATTCAGGTGAAGAGGTCTTCTGTGGTATAGTAGATTTTCAGAACATTTTGTAATGAACATTCTGTCACACATGAACAGTTGTTATGCCCTTAAATCAGGCCTGCATGCCAAAGAATTTCCGAAGATGTTTTCCCTCTACATTTTTCCCAGACAGCCCAGAATCCTTTGACAGGCCACAGATTTTGCAGGCCTGCCTTAAACTGTCATGATTCCTTGCATTATAGTGGTTATTTTGGGCCAAATATTGCAAGATGAAGTTGTAACTTAAGCTGTATGTGAGGCTTTTTTATTAGCTTGGATCCCCATATGGTGATGTTATAAATTCATTAAAGTATCACCTTGATATATATCCTGGGAATTGCTTATTGATTGACATTGATGTAAGTGTAGCTGTCTTTACATTAATATTTATCTGCAAAAAAATGGATTGAAATCACGATGCTTTACCCCTCTTAGGGTTTGGGATTTATCTTTCTCATAGTCTTTCTCAGATGTCTCCTTTCATCTTGACTGTTCTCACACCCCAAGCCACTCTTTACTTGAACTTATATGTGATAACTGCAGTGTGTATCATCTGCTAGAAAACTGATACTCCTTTTCTGGTCAATGCGTTTATAGATTAGAAGGACTATAGTTGCTTTTTTGAATGTTTTCCTTTTTTTTTTTTTTAAAGGAATGTTCAGAAAGAGGATCGGACTCCAATGCTTGAGGAGTACAGGGAGTATAAGAAAATTAAAGCCAAACTTAGGCTCCTTGAAGTTCTTATCAGCAAACAAGATTCTTCAAAATCCATATAAAAATGCTCCTTCAAAACATCATAAAAACCAGTTATATTCCCTGAAGCTACCATCGTGTGTACTGGCTGATGCTTGAGTTCATTTTTTGTCATGTGCTATTCAAAGAATTTCATGTGAACTTTATTGTGGTGCCACTACAAAAATATGATCGAAGGGCAAGTAGGCCCCTTTTAGGGAGCAAATAAAATGTTCCAAATTAACAGGAAACTATTCTCTCTACCTTAACAAACATGCAGTTTCCTTCAGTGTTTTGTATTACAGATACATCCTTTTCCCAAAAGACTACAGAATTTTATCTTTTCAACTTTAAAGAACTTCGGAAATGTACGAGCTTTTTGTTATTTCCAACTTCTTTTTGCATTACTGAAGAAAATTAAGATGTAGATCTTCACACCACACTGAACTACTCTAGTTGCCTTTTTCTTACAGAAAAATTGAGAGTAAAACATAAAAACGCATACATATGCAACTGTTTTCTGTGTTTTCCTGGAAAACCAAAACCAAACTGAAATTCCTTTCTGAGTCCTGCTGTGGAACAGCTTTCTGTTTAAATCCCACAAAGATGTGTCACACAGGTAGTAGTATGTTATGGATTGGATTTTTCTTTTTTATCCCCAAGTCAGTGGTCACAGCTCCTGGACGAAGAAAGCAGTGGACAGACCAGAAAGTGACCTTCCTTAATGTAATTTTAAAAACACAAAAAACAACTTGGAAAACTGATTCATTATCACACGCTGCCTACAGGACTTGAGTTACTATTCATTTTCTTGGTTATTGTTTAACAACTGGTGGTGACATGATTTGCCTTCCCCAATTGATAATGTGAGAACCTTATGTCATCATGTGGGAAATCTGATGGTGCTTAGACTTGTATAGTGCCAGCAGATCCAAACTGGCCTAAATCGGTAAAAATGATTGTTATAGCTGAAATAAATCTGTTTAAACAAGGGCTAATATTACTGCATTTTACATGCATCTTAGGGTGGATTGGTGGGTTGTGTGAGTCTTAAAAATAACAAGAAAAAAATCCTACAATAAGCCAACATCCTCTCTCTCCCCCACCCCTTCCAAAAATTACTTTCTGTTACCACATTGTATATGTGTGATGCAGCTGGGAAACAGAAAGCAGTGGTGTACCCTTGTAATGTAAGCAGATCTTTTTTTTTTTTTTTTCTGTGCATGGTTCAGCTTTTAAAAAATGTCCTTTTGATGTCATTCTGGTGATCATTTTCACTATGTTGGATGATTATTCACATGCTTGTGCTATAATACAGCAGTCATTAAAAAGATTCAGGTCAGGCAAAACTTAAGTGTTAATTTTTAACTGGTGCTTTTCTGTATGGGTAAGTATATCAGTTTGACTATTGCTATGTTTTGCATGCAGTGACTTTACATGCATGTTTTCTGACAAGCTAATATTAACACACTTTGTTTCATCAAAGACCAAAAGATACTTTTTTTGGAGGGGGGGTATAACATCATTAGAAACTGTGGGAAGCATGAACTTCATAGATTTTGGGGGGACTTATATAAACACAGGGTTGAAAATGAATAGGATTTATATAGTACTTCAGAAGTCGTGTGTGTGCAATACCTCTTTCTTTTGTTTTTGGTATTGAATAGTGGACATGTAGTTTGGGAATTTTAACAAAAAAAAAAAAGCACTAAAACTAACCATGTTCTGATGGTTTCCCTTTATATAGCAAGGCTATTCATAAAGTATCTAGAGAAATAACATTTAAAAACTAAAACCAGGACCATTTATCACTTTGATTTGGATCCATTGTGCAATGCCATTTCAGTTATTTTTTTTCTATCAGTCTGTAGACACGGGTGTATCCAAACATTGAAACTAATGTGTACTGTATATTGTTGTACATGAATGTTTGTTTTATATGCCACATGCAAAATGTCAATATGCACTATTTAAATGTTTTAAATAATATATTCCTCCTTTATAATGCTTAAAACTATATGATTCCAATATTTTTATAAGTGAGTGATCGAACTGGTTTCATTTTAGAATTAACAGCTGCTTCGTGTTTGTTGTACAGAGTGTGTTTGGCTGTTCAGTTTAGTAGATAAGCATGGCAACAGTTGTGCTCTTAAGTGTTGTGTGCCATCTTTGTTGGGCAGTATGTGGTAGAATTAGGCGTGATAAATTAAGAATTTTACTTTGGTACAAGTAAAAACTATATCTATATACCAGCAATATATAGATATATAGATATATTTATATGTCCACTAGATATAATTACATTGCTATATCTGGCACTTCTCTGTATAGATTTTTGTAATAAAAAATACCTTAATCTTTATTGTCCCAAGTCATTGTAATGGCTTCCTATTTTTCCAACAGGTACTTAAAAAATTGGCAGCCCCTGGAATTCCTTTGGCATATAATGTCCTCAGACATGAAGCTCTGGCTCAGTTTATTTTTGGTTGAATAAGCCAGACCAACAACCTATAGCGCAGGATTGTTGCCTTAAGCAATAATGGGGGTTGATGGCAGCGGTGTGGAAAGAAAAAATTCCACTCTGTGGATTTCTTGGAAGAAGGTATGCAGCCTTCTTTTAACTGTTAGAATTTAGAAAAAGAATTTGACTTGGAAGATCAAAAGAACTCTCCTTAATCGGCCAAAGAAAGAAGGTTTGATGGTAGTTGTAGAATTGACCTTCATTGGAGGTTTTAGACTAGTGCTGTTTAACAGCTATAAAAATGATAACTTGAAAGTAGTGACTAGTCTCAGTATGTAAAAACTCAGAAGTTAAATTTATGCCTTTGGAAAAAAAAATAACTGCAGTATAGTAAGGTCCTACCAGTTCCTGGGGATTGTTTTGGGAGAGCCTAAGCCACATGCTATATGTGTGCTTTGTCACAAAATTCTGGGGTGGGAGTGGAAGTTTTCTTATGACTTCAGAAGTACCATACGGCTACTTTGCATCTAGCAAAGTTATGATTGCTCACCATGGGGTACAAAACTGCTCAGTCTCAATGTGACCCATGTCCTGAGACTCTTACCACCATTACCCACAAAATCAGTGTATGTTTAACTTTGGAAGAAGTTTACCAAACAAGTATCATACAAATCAAGAGCTTTGAGAAGTAATCTTTTATAAACTGGCCAAATGAGTTTCTAGGTTTGGGAGAATTTTAATACTAATTTTTCCCAAATTAATTTGGCCGTAGGATCCTGGGAGCAGGGGCAGAGGTGTGTGTGTGGGGGGAAGGATTGTGGAATATATTGTGAAGACTGAAAGAATACTGATTGATTGGAGATGGGGGAATATATGGACTACCCCACAAACTAGGTGTGGGGGTGGGAAACAGAACGATTTTGGAGTAGTCAAATCTACTTTTCAAACATTGTCACACACAGGTGTCTTTTATATATACACAATTTAATATTTTTTGAAGAAATAGCATTGAAGTGTTCTCAAACTAGTCACACTGCCATGTAGGACATGCTGCTTAACACTTGTGTTTGCCTGGAGATTCATCAAACTGTAAAATGTGGCTGAGACACTTGTATATGAATATCTGGTTGCTTTCTAGAGTCCTGAGCATTAAGAAGTAAATATATGAGATCAATGGCTTAAGAAATATTGATACATGATATAACTGAAAGAGAATTGAATTGGCTCTTTCTGGCCCTATTTATTCAGCTGTTCCTTCCTGTCTCATCAACTGGACTCTTGAGTACTCTTTATAACCCTCCTTTTTCACAACAATCCCTTTAAAGATAATAAAATACTTTGTTCATAATGGAGAATAGCAATAACTTTTGATCCTAGAAATAATTCTGTGAGATAGGTGTTGGTATCCCCTTCTTACTCATGAGGAAACTTGAGTCTGAGAGACTAAGTGACTTGCCCAGAGTCATAAAGCTTGTACATAAAACAGGATTCAACTCAAGCTCTTCCTAGGAGCTCTGTAATCTTGCCATAACATTACTTGCCCCTAAAATTTGGCAAATGGCATTCCCACCGAGGAGTGTTCCTGAAGGATGTGATCATAGGACAAGGACTTCAAAAACAGCCAGACTATTAGATATTAATTAGATTATTAGATACTATTAATTAAATATTAATAGAATTCTTTAAACTATTTAGATCGAAGGTGATTAAAGGTGGGAGTGCAGTAAAAAGGATAAAATAAAGTAGTATAGAAGAAAGCTGATGTAATGGCATAGTATGATCTCACCTTTGCTTGCACATCTGTCATGTTTTTCTAGCAGAAATCCTTTTCATCACTCTGTTTAATTTTGTACTGACATAGTGCAATTCCTTCTCTAGCTCTACTGCAAATAAAAAGAGTCTAAAATAGAATTTTAAAGAGAGTATGTAGTGAGGTAATTTGAATCATTACTATTAAAAAACCCATACCTGACAATCTCTTTGAATACTGTCCCTCTAATTAGCCTTCACAGTCTTGAAGCTATACCACTCAAAGCGTAAGCAGGACAGCTGAGTTCCAGAAGTTCCTAAATTATTACCCAAAGCATTTTCAGAGCTGGAAGGAACCTTAAGAGATCATCTAAGTCCGATCATTAACATATGAACAGGCCAAGAGAAATGAAAAAGCACCCTGTTTAAGAACCACACTGCAGTGCTAGTTGGGGCAAAACCAGGACGAGGAAATCAGTGTTTCCTGGTGTGTGGGCCCACATCACCATAGGCCCATCACCATAATGACACCTGTTGAGATGATTCCAACACTCATAATAAAGGATTAGGGGTTTGATCCTAAGCTTTCATTGTAGGTTAGTCTGTAGAAGGGTTTATATTTTCTCTCTTCAATAAAAATAATTGAATGGCCAAGTCCTGTGGAAGATAATTGGTGGAGAGGAGAGTGTACAGTGTAAAATGTGTGAATGGCATCTTTAGGGACTTCTAGTCAAAAATATGGTCTGGTCAAGTCTCAGCTGCTTTGGTAATTTTTGTTTTAGCTAATTATAAAATGAGGTTAGAAACTGTGTTAAAATGTATCAAAAGAATTAGGATTCCATTAAAATTTAATTCTTGGTTTAAGAAGAGAAAAAACTATTTCGGGGTCCCTACCTTCTCATTGCCAAAATACCTTCATGCCACAATGTACTAATAAATCCGTTGGTTTTCTGAAATTCTATGAAATATAAGAGCTTACTTACTCTCGAAATTCTTGTTGTGTGACAGGCCGATAAGCATCTGGAATTTCTGAAGAGTAATATTTTTGCTCAAGCCTCTCTTTCCACTTTTTCATCTGTTTTGCACTTTCAATTTCCTTGTCAAGTTAAAGAAGAAAAGCATATGTGCTGAAACTTTTATACATAAAACCAGCTTTTTCATATGTGTGGCATGAATGTAAGTTTGAGAGGTAATTCTGCTTAGAAGGCATCTAGAAAACAAATTTTAAAATAGAATGTGGACATTGATAATGAGTAATTTTTTTTTTTTTCAACACTAGCTCCAAAACTTCTCAAGCGGAAATTTTTTTCCTACTCAATTACATTACGACTACCATAGATTGTTTATGAAAAATGAGTCCTACTTTTTCATCAAAATCTCTTCTGGGCTGGAAAGCTGTGTCTTCCTCTTTCCTATTATTAATACAAAATGGAGAAATAGAGGGTCAAGTAATGCCAAATCACATAACCACTTAGGAAGGTAGAGTGATGGTCTTACTGCTAATAAGAAACTGTTTTAGTGAGAATAAAATACTTGTCCTGAGCTGTATAAATATATTCTTTAGGAAATGAGGCATAGAATGTTTTGTAGGGTAATAGCATTTCAAGTATCATTTTAGTACATATGCATAATGCCAGAGGCCTTGAGCTATGGAGGTTGGTGGGGAGGGGAAGCATTTCTGTATGGGCAAATGGATAGGTTGCTATAATAAATCATCGGGAGTTGGAAAACAATTTGTTGTTTTTACAGTGTTGTGTTCCACTTCTACCAACCTCTTGTCCCCAAGTGTTTTCATGAAAGCTTTTCAGTTAAATATTTAGAAATGTAAGGGACTTGTACACTTTGGTACATATATTAAGTGCTCTTGTACAAGGCACTGTGCTGATTATTGGGGATTAAAAAAAAGGAAAAACAATTGCCTACCTTCAAGAAGCTTATATTCCAAGGGGGGATATTATAGCTCAATGTCTATATCTTCTTTTGTGTGTGTGTATTACATGTATAATACGTATTGTGTATATGTGTGTAAATTGAGAATTTTAGGACACTTGAAATAGATACCTGGGACCTATAATTTGGAATCCTTGATCCTAACCTTTTAGGTCATTTATCCTAGCAGTCAAAAGCTTATCCTTGTTATATACCACTTAATAGATGGGCAGACAGTTGGCATAGTGGATAGAGGACCATGCTTGTAGTCAGGAGGACCAGAATTCAAATCTGTCCTCAGACACTTAGTAGCTGTGTGACCCTGGACAAGTAACTTAACCCTGTTGCCTCAGCTTTTTCATCTGTAAAATGAGCTGGGGAAGGAAATGGCAAACCACTCCTGTATCTTTGCCAAGAAAACCCCAAATGGAGTCACAAAGTCACGTGACTAACTGACTAAACAATAACACTTAAAAGTTAAACATTAAAGTAACATCTAAAAGATAAAGAACAATATGAAGAGTCTTACACTTTTTGGCCTTTTGTTTGCGGTTTCTTTAGTTTTAATTTCTCCATGGTCTTGGTATATCTCTGAATATAAGAGAATTTGATGTTTTAAAAACAAAACAAACGTAGTGACAGTTGTAACAGGATTAAATAAAAATACAGAAATGCTTTACTGTTAATGCTCCTGATGGGGAGAAAATGTAGAGCCATTTACCATTGCTTGCCCTTTTATTTAGTAATCTTCCCTGTCTTCTGTTTTTTTTTTTTTCTCCCTCATACTATGGTAATGAAATACTAAGGAGAGTGGTGGTTGAAGATTGAGGGTATAAATGGACAGGAATGTTTTTATTTAAAAAAAACTTTAAATTTTTTTTAAAATCACATTATAATCATTTAGGTTGTACTGTGGAATTTGAATAGTGTCCCTACCATGATTAGAAGCCAAAAAAAAAAAAAAATCTGGTATAATATTGTAATACTGAACTGTCCAAATGTGATATCTAATAACAAATAATAGCTAGCATTTAGATAATCTAATGACAATCTAGCACTCTTCCCCCTCTACCATTTTATCTCCCTGTTGGACATCTCACTATTTTCTAATTCAGGGAAACTGGGGCCAGGAGTCTTCTGGGTACTGTCATTTCCAGTCTGCAATCCAACATCAACAGCTGTATTTTTCAGCATTGTTAGTAACTCTACCAATGGGTACATTTAGACCACAGCATGTTACAACTGATAAAGCACATCTGAGGCAAGAAAAATACATGAGTTAAGATTTCTTTTTTCATTGGCCTTGATTGCTTGCCCATTACTGATTGCTATAAACTTTATGTCCCTGTGAGAATTAAGCAAATTTCACTAAGTTTAGTGAAATAGCACAACGTTACAAGAGAAAAATAAAAAAAAATAAACATTCAAACTAGTGTTTAATGGATATCCAAACTAAGGCACAAGACTTAAATAAGTAAGATTTTTATCCTGTGGTCTTATTAAAGAAGTTAATTTTACTTACTGTTTTGATTTGGTTTGCTAACTCAGATTCTTGTCTCCTACCAATGGAATAGTCAGTTTTCACTTCAGAATAGGCGTCATTAATAATTGCCAGGAACATGTTCTATGGAGAAGTATTCCAAGAAATTAATTTGATAAATTTTTATCTGAGCTTGACAAGTGCTAATTTTAGCAAGTTGAAAGAACAACCCAAAAATTTCTTAGCATCTTAATTCTAGAGTGGACTGAGTGGTGAAAAGAGAAGCCTGTAGCTCTGAAAGGAGAGTGGGTTTTCCATAGCTGTGCCATGAATATATATGCTCGGTACAAGCCTCATTGGAATGGATACTTTCTGGTACATCTAAGGAAATGCTTCCCTCTCTGGAGATGTTTGTGGTCTGGTCTTGGACATTTGTAGGGCTTTTGCTCTTTCATTTTGGTCCCTTAGGTCCTTGATTATTTGAAGTGTGACAAGCTCAGGTTATGTCACTGTTGTATCTGCTAACTTTTAGAAGTTCTAAGGGCTCTCACAAAAGCCAGAAAGAATACCTAATGACTCCAATGTCAAGATTAACTAATACAGCTTTCCTTCCCCAAAACTCAAATGATGGTTATAAATTACCACTTATTCCTTTCCCCTTTAGGCAAAGTATCTGGCCTAGGAAGATTATCTGATTTTCTGAAGTCATACGGCTTGATAAATGTAGACTTTGAATTAAGGAATCTGGATTCCTACTATTCCACAATGCTGTGAGACACTTCTACAGTTTAATGACAGTGGACTCCATTAAGTTCTCATTATGAAAGATTTACTGCATTTTTTTAAATGAAAGATTTCATAATTTTTTTTCTCAGTGTGAGCTATTGGGGCCAATGACAGACTGTACAGTTAACACTCTTACCAGCAGGACAAAGAATACAAAGAAGATGAAAGTGATGAAATAAGTAGGTCCCAGCACCCAATTGGCCGCCTCAATGTTGGCAAAATTAAAATCTCCCAGAACAATTCGAAACTGTGTAAATCTTAAAAAGAAAAATATTAAGAAAAATAAAGGAATCCAAAGCGTCTCATAGGAAGGGGGTGGGGTGGGGGGGACTACTGCTATCTCGAAATTTTCTAGCTGCACAAGATAATGTGTTCAGGGGGATGTTTTAAGGAATTAGATCTCATGGCCTGTAAGAAGAGACTCTAATAACCAATTGACTGTAGAAATATGGTACTTGGACTTGGGAGGAATTTTATTTATGGTCAAGGCCTCAATGACCTCATTCCCCACCAATCCCTTCTAAAGACTTGAGTCCTGAGACAGTGGTGAGGTTTTCTAACACTCCAGGTTCCACACAGTCTTGCTGTGTTCCTGGGCCCTTGAGCCCTAAACCCTTTTTTTTGCTTTGTTTGTTTCCTTGGTATAATGTTTGCATTTGTTCCTTTGCTTTTTCTAGAACTTAGTTAAAATGAGCATCACACATATTTACCATCTACTGATACCTATTTGTAACTATTTTTTTCCTTGTAGATATAAATGCTTTGTGTTGATGCAAGGACAGAAACTAACTACATAAAGCTCCTTATTTAAAAGCATTTAGAAATGCCAAAATAATCTTCACTATGCCCATTCTATAGGCAGAAAAAGTAGAGAAGTTATTCTATTTGTAGCACTAGCACTTGGCACATAATGCTTTAATAGATGCTTTTTCATTTATTCATTCCTTCATTCATACTTAACAATACTATAGCTGAACTAAGGTTAGAAATTCCTAACTCTAAACCCGACTTTCTATTTACTGCAAATATATATTGTAATCTATAAGATAAGAGGATTGGACTACTAGATGACCTCAAAGTTCTCTTTTTTTCTTACAGTTTATGTAAAGAACTCATTGATGAGGATCTGCATTTGGGGTTGCCAAATTTCCTAATGATATCAGGAATGCAATATATTTGTCTATGTGTATTGCATATATGTATAATTTTAGAGAGAAATGCAAGAAGTTGTTTTTCAGTGGTATTCTGATATTCTTTGTCAGTTAACAGAGAAAAAGTTGTCTCCCTTTTCTTTGTCGAACATAAGTCGATGACCAACAACATTGGAAGAATAAAATATACTAATAAAATAAATATACACTTAAGGAAATATACTAATAATATACTAATAAAATATACACTAAGGAAATAAACTACCTCATTAGAAGTCACAGAACACTAGTTTCCTGGAACTTATACAAGTTTAATTCCCTGTAGGTTGGAATTGTCTTGAATCAATCAGCAAGTATTTATTATGCATCTACTATGTGCCAGGTATCGAATTAATCTTGACAAAGGGATTTATTCTATTTTTCTTTTCTTTTTTTTTTTTTGGTGAGGCAATAGTGGTTAAGTGACTTGCCCAGGGTCACACAGCTAGTGTCAAGTGTCTGAGGCGGGAATTGACCTTGGGTCCTCCTGATTCCAAGATCGGAACTCTATCTACTGTGCCACCTAGCTGCCCTTGATTTTATTCTGTTTTTAGGATTGTTGATTAATACATCTATACAAAATGGAGAGAAATGTTGAGCTAGATAAATCAGAGAAATAACTTCAAATAAAAAGTATTTTCCTCTTTGGCCTACGAGGGCAAGAGACATGTTGTTTCCTCCTGCCTTTGGGGCACATGTTTTTAGACAGAGGGATAGGCATGGCTTCATTTTTTTCCCCAAATATGCTCAACTGAAACTACCATCTAGTACTTGCACTTCAAGTGAGGTAATCTAACTATGCAGAGCAGAATAAAACCAAACAAAACCAGGGCTTGATTGATAATCTAGGAGGACTCGGATAGAGCCTGGGGAATCAAAACAGCAACTTTCCCTCTTCTCTGGATCTCTATTTTATCCAGACCATTATAGCATCTCTCTCTAGAGAGGAATAGTAAAAATACAACATGACTACTTATGATGGAAATGGCTGTAGACAGAATCCAATCCAATATGGCACCCCATAGAGTGTAGGTAATTTACCCAAGGACATCTAGCTAGTAAGTGTTGAGATGAGACTTGAATCCCAGTTGCCTGGCTCCCAGTCTAGTGCCTTTTCTACTACATGTTACTACAGGCACACTGCCTAACATTATTAATTGGTTTCATGAAAGTATTACTTTAAGTAAAACCATATTTATATAGAGAGCCAGAGTAGCCTAGGGACAGAGTTAAATAGGAGTGTAGCTATGTCCTAATGACATTATTGCAAGAGTATTGTTGGGGGAACTGTTAAGTATGCTTGCTTGTAATTCAATAAAAGAAAATGGAACAAAGTTATTCAAGTTTTCTATAAGGAACCCATTTCAGTTTTATCCAGTAACTTGTAAAATATGGTATAGGGGTTGGGAGGATGGTAGTAGTATAGTCCCAAGATAGTTCCTCAATCTATCTGAGTTTTCTTAAGCTGAAAAACTTTAAACAATAAATAATTTCCTGAAAAAAAATGTGTGTGAATCAGTTTTTTAAAAAATATATTGGATCCTATTTTAAGGATTAAAGCAAGCTTACTATTGAACAAAACCCTAGATTTGATACTTTTTATAACTATTTCAATTCATTGAGCATTTACTAAGAAAGACACTGTGCTTAGGTAATGGGAATGCAAGACAAAATTCTGCTAGGGGGCATGCAACATTTACACAAATACAAAATAATTTGAGGAGTAAGATCCCTAAGGACTAGTAGGATCACAGCAGATTTGACATAGGAAATGGCATATGAGCTAAGCTTCTAAGGAAGCTCAGTATTATAAGAAGCAGAGGTGAGAAGAGGTTATGTTTCCAGGCTTGGGGAACAATTTAATTTGTGCAAATGCAGAGGCAGAAAATTGTGGAGTTGAGGGAATAGCCAACAGACCAGTTTGCCTAGAATATAGAAGAGTATATTTCATTGCCTTTAAAGTTCTGGATGTTATCTAGCTTACCTGATCTTGACTGATTTGGTTATTTAAAACAACTCAAGATGAGCAGGAGGTAAGGATTCCAAAAATGAGGACTTCAAAGAAGACATCTTATTTAGTTCTGCTCCCTAGGGAAAGTTGCCATAGAAACTACTTCTGACAGTTTATTCATTTTGTATACAAGTACTGGACTAGGCACTGGGAAAGAAAGTTTAAATAAGACAATCCTTTCCCACCTGGAATTGTTGCTGACTTAATTCTAAAATAAGATGACCTGGAGTCATAAGACCTGGGCTTCAACTTTTGCTCTGAGTATCAGTCTCATCTAATACGTTATCTCAAAGGGTGGTTGTGAGAAAAGTATGAGGTAAACTTTACTGTGTTATAGAAATAGATATACCAATAAATCTGGCTATCACTTTTGAAAACATAATTTGACATTGTTGATATAAAAATAATTTTGGGAATAGTACTATGTCCTGGGATCCTGCATAGTTATATGCTGTTTCCGAGTTCAGTGGCTATTTAGCTAGACATTAAATGTTAATAAAACTAAAATTAGTTAAGTACAACCACCACCCACAAGAAAACCCCAAAAGTTTTTAGGCCTTTCCACCTCCCCCCGAAACAATAAATTTAGCATTTATATTTACTCTATTAAAAAGAGCTTACATAGAATTTTCAAAAGTGGAAAAGTCGTCAACCTGTGATCCGAAAACAAGATATCCTAACTGGGCATAAGCAAAGAATATTATAAAAAACATGATGGCAAATCCTATAATGTCTTTGACACAGCGGGAGAGAGTTGTTGACAGCTGCGACATTGTCTTATTAAAACTTATGAATCTGAATATCTGAAAGAGAAAAGAATAGTTTGGAATGGGAGAGAGAGCACCAAGGAATATAACTCCTAACAAAAAGTTTAATCAGTCCCATAAGAAATTTATATTTAAATCAAGAGACGAGCTTAAGGGAAACTAGAGGAGACTGAAGGGCTTGCTAGTGACTCCCTATCAGGGTGCAGATAATGAATCCTTTGGAGACATGTCATACTTGTATACTGTGTTACCCACTAGGTCTATAAATTCCTTGAGGAGATATGACTGTATTTTGTTTCTTTTATATCTCCTCACAATACTTTGTCTACAACTTGGCAATACATTTTCTTTTGACAAACTGGTGCTTACCCTGGCAACAAACCTCAAGGCCTTTGGTACGATAAAGAGAACCTTGCAGGAATGAAACTTGGTTTGTACGGAAAGGTTTATATAGTTTGGCCAAATGCATGATTTTCTTAGTGAAAAAATAATTTGAAAATGAGCTGTCAGCATTGTATTAGAAACAGTGTTAAAAGAAGTGTTGGCTTTAAGGAAGGGTACATTATATGCTAGAGTAGGTAACTTTTAGATAATTTCAAACAGGTATTTTATAAGTATTTCATTTCTGCATAAGAGGTTGTTCCTGAAAAGGTTAATTTTCCCACTTCTTCCTGATTCTCACCCTTTAAAAACTATAATAAGTAATGCTAGGGAATTTTTAAACTCAAAGAAGACAACTGGCTTAGAATCTTCATGTTCTTTCAAAAATGATGCCTTGTTTTCAAACGTATTTGTCTTTAAAGAAGGACTTTTCTTCCATTAATACACATTGTCTACATATTTTCCTCTTCTAGTTCTACCTGCCATGACATACTGTTTTTCTGTGATGCTTAACTTCAAGCTCTACATATGGCTAACCGGAGGACAAGATGGATGGAGTATATATGTCTGTTAGATACAAGAAACATGTTTTATTTCATTTCTTCATTCCCTGTCCCTCTGGCAAGCCAAGCCAAGCAGGGGCTATTTTGATGGTATTGGATTTTTTGATTTGGAGAGAGAAAGATTTCAAGAAATAAATGAGTCTGACATGAAAAGAGGGAAGACAGTAGAACACAAATGCTTTTACTGAAGTGAGGTGCCTCTAAAAGTAACATACTCAGTTACTGCCTGACACATAGACCATAGAATGTTAGAGCTGAATGGGACCTTAGAGATCATGTAATTCAATCTTCCTATTTTACCAAGGAAGAAACTGAAATCCATGTAGGAAAAGTGACTTACCCAATGACATTCACACAAAGAGCCAGTGACAGAGCCTATGCCAGACCTCCAGGTTCCTGACTTCTAGCACAATGAACTTTCCACTACACCATAAACGAGGGAGCTTCAATCATTCCACTAACACTAATTTTTAATCCTTGGAATTGTCCCAAAAAGAGGGGAAGCAGTCTTAATTTTTAGATGAAAAAAATGAGAAATTTGCTTTGTAATTCTGGATATAAGCTGGTTATGATGATCTTTCCAAACTGTACTGAAGCTAAGTTAGAGGCCAATCTGCCTCTAGTTTATTGTATAACATAAGAAAATTTAGTTTTCTTCAGAACTTTCTGGTCACAAAACTATAGTTATATTATTTGATGATGCTTTAAAAACTTTGGTGGAATAAAATAAGAATACCTTAATCCATGCAAAGAAGATATTAACAGCAACCATGTCATTGTAACGAATTTGCCAGCATGCAAGAAAATAGAAGTCAGGATATTCCTGAGTTTTTTCTAGTAACTGTCCAAGTAAATGGTATGCTTGTGATGTACGGAATATATTGATTGAAATGGCCAAAAGGGACAGCTAAATAGAAAGGTAAAAATAATTAGATAAGAATCTTCAACTTCAAATTCATTGCAGTGCACATTTTAAGAACGAATTCTGTAAGTGTCTAATAGAAACAATTGAATGGTTTAATCATAACTTTAAAAGGGAAGGAAGAGAATGAGAGGAAACAGTTGTTTAAAGACTATTTAAGAAGGAAAAATATATCCATACCCATCCATAGAATTAGTAGTAGTAATACCCTAGACTTCACCATCACCCAAACCTCCATGATCTTTGAAGTCTGAAATTCTCTCCTGATCATAATCTCTTATTCTTCCATCTTTTCCCTCTGCTTTACTACTTCTAAGATCCCTCTTCATTCTACCACTCTGTTACCTCTGCCCTGGCCTTACCTTCTTCCTTTCATGATATTGTGACTTTGGCTGCAAGCAGTTCAACTATTCATTGTCTTGTGCCTTTGAATTCCTTGCCCTCTTGTTATTGAGCACACCTTGTTGATCTTTAACTTTAAATTACCTACACTATTCATTTTTTTTTTCATTTTCTACTGCCCAACTCAAGGCTGCTAGGGAAAGTGACATAACCATATTATGGGTCTACTAGAAACTTATGTTATCTAAACTGGTCCGTCATTGCTAGATGGAAGTCTTTTCTTAATTATTGCATTCTACTCACTGTGTTTCAAATTTTCTCAAGTTCTCACTGTCATCTTTCATACCTTTGCCTCCTAATTAATTACTGAGAAGAAGCCATCAGTCATAAACTCCCTTATCTCCCCAAGTCCTCATCTCAAAATTCTGTATCTGTCATCTCATTCTCTTCTGTACAAGAGGAGATGGCTCCCTTTTTGCCAAGGCTAACTCCTCTCTACTTGAGTCCTTGATCATGTTCCCCTCATGTTTCCTCTGGGAGCTTACCACTTCAACCATTCTCTTTCTTGACCCTTTAAACATTCTCATACACATATATGCATATACACATGATATACATAAACATATACATAGATGTATTATGTATGTTAGTATAGTTTTATATACACACAGACACATACACATAAGGTAAGGGTTGTCCAAAAGTCATATGAGGGGGCCAGTTTATTAAGGTCTTTAAAAGCCACACATAGGATTTTATATTTGATAATGGAGGTGATAGGGAGCCACTGAAGTTACTGAATGGGAAAGGAGGGCACATGGTCAGACCTGTGATTTAGGAAGATCAATCTGACAGCTGAGTGGAGACCAGCTGGAGTGGAGAAAGGAGAGCCAAGAGAGAGCAGTATCATGAAAACCTAGAGAGAAGAGAGTGTCAAAGAAAAGAGGCTGATTGATAGTGGCAAAGGCTACCAAGGTCAAGAAGAATGAGGATTGAGAAAAGACCACTAAGTTTTGATGATTTGGAGAGAGTAATTTCAATTGAATGATGAGGGCAGGAGCCAGACTTTAGAGAGTTAAGACAGAGTGATAGGAAAGGAAGTGGAGGTACCTATTGAAGATGGCCTTCTCAAGGAGTTTAGCCACAAAAGGTAGGAGGAATATAGAATGATAGTTAATGGGGCTGAATAGAAAGTGAGGAAAATACAGTCTGTTGTCATTCTACCTCTCCCTCTATCTTGCAACTCCAAAGCCTTTTCTTCATACTCATTATGACCTCCAATCCTCTGACTCCTCAGTTCTTTCCTAGGTTATTACCCCTGCACTGGCTATATTCTTCTCCTTTCCCCATCTTGACTCCTTGATGAACCAGTTCAACTCTACCCTATCCTTTTCTCTCAAGTTCCTTGCTCTCTTATCCCATCACCAGATTTTGCCATGCCAAACCTCAGTCTTGGGTAACTCCCACCATCTGCTGCCTTTACTCCTACTCACATGATGCTGAAGAAAATCATAAGATTATGTTGACTGGGTCCACTATAAATTCATATTATATAATCTCAACTGGGCCCTCACTGTGGCAAGGCAATCCTATTACACTCCTCTAAGTGACTTATCACATTCACACTACAGTGGCTTTTCTAAACCTATTCATTCCTCTTCAAACCTCTTATAGCCCCCTCTCCTACCTTGTCAGCTGAGAACTTTGCCTCATATTTCAACAAAAAAATTGAGACCATTCACTGAATGGTCTTTTCTCTTCTTAATCACACACCACTCAGATAGCTTCCGTCATCATCTCCTGAACCTGTTTCACATGAAAAGGTGGTCCTTCTTACCACAGCAAACCTTTCTACATACATAGATGATCTCATTCCTTCCCATCTTCTCCAGCAGAATGTTCCTTTTATCATCCCCACTCTCTAATCTCTTGCTTTCTGAGGGTAAATGATTAAGACTAAATTCTTCACCGTTAAATAGCATTTAGACTTAACACAACTCTATTTGTAATTGAACTATGTCTAATTCAGTAGAATAGATATGTTGTGAAGAATTCAGATACTAGCTGCATGACCCCTGGCAGGTCACTGTTTGCCTCAGTTCTTTATCTGTAAAATAAGCTGGAAAATGAAATGGCAAACCACTTCAGTGTTTTTGCCAAGAAAACCCTAAAATGAGGTCATGAAGAGTCAGGCACAACTGAAACGACTGACCAACAATTAAAGACTTAATCTTCTTTTCTTCACTCCTCCACTCCAATAAGCACCCAATGACCAGGGCTAGTCATAGGAAAAGTTATCTTTGGTGCCCTTCTCCCAATTTTTTGGACCTTTTCTATTCTTCTTTGTCCTTTCTTTCCCCTCCCACTGTCCAGGCACCCAGTGCCTCCATGCTATCCCACACTTCAGTATCCCATTCAGGCTTACCCTACCCTCAAATTCCTAAGTCTTCAAATTATCTCTCCTCTCAACCTTTTGGTGTCCTGCTCCATTACTGTAAGTGTGAGGAGAAAAACAAACAAATCCATTTCTACTTGCATTTTAAGAAGACTTTGTTAATCCATGTATATCTCTTCTATATTTCATGAATTTGTGATTTTATCATTTTTGGTACTGATTTCAATACAGATTGCAACTCAACTAGCATTAGTAAATGATCTTATGGAGTTGCTGTGGCTAGAATTTCATCACCTAGTGGACAGACAAACCAGTGACCAACCTCTTTGATTTATCTAGTCTGGTCTTTGGAACACCACACACACACACACACACACACACACACACACACACACACACTCACACACACACTCATTACCTGGTAAATACTTCATATTTCTAGCATGGTACTATAGGACCTGCCAGAGTTTGGACTCTTCTGTCATAGATTTTAAGAACTCAAGAACTCAGGGTCACTTCTGTGTCATGATGTGGTATCTGAATAGGACTTTAGTCTAAATGCTGGAATTTCATTATATAAGGAGGAAATGTTTTTGAGAAGGAAGTCCTTCTTGTGCTTTAAAAGGCAGATCCCATAGTGATTCCTTTCACCACAAAGTCTGCTGTGCCAGAACAGGAAGGACAAACTGTTCTCTTCAGATGGCAATACATGAAGTTATATTACATATACCCAGTAACCTTTTTTTTTGTTTGTTTAAATTGATGAATTTTAAAATCTTTCCTTCCCATTTAAATAATGGTAGAAGAGACAAAAGCTCATTTCCCACCTTTCCCATTACTTGGATGCAAATGATCCACTTCGCAGGTAGTTTCACTACTCACCGACAAAAGCAGCAACTCCAGTAAATTCCAAAAACTCTTGAAATAGGCATATTTATATTCTTTCATTTTTTTAATTTCTTGAACAATGAAGTTAATAATGAAGATACAAAATATGATTTCACAGGAAGCAATAAAGTAGTCAAAGTAAGTAACATATCTGAGTAGCTTCACAGAGTAAAAATTCCACGAAGTGAGCACACCTCCGACTGCAGGGAATTCTGCCACTAGTCTGCAAAATTGTGTTTTGGAAAAGTAACTCTGTGTTCGAAGCACTGTATATCAGTTTCAGACTTTAATTCATCATTAGTGAAATATCCAGTGAGTGAAGATTACTTATTTTAATAATAAATTAGGTTAGTTGAAAGAGTATTGAATTTGGAACCAGAGTATCTGGGTTCAGATTCTGACTTTTCCAGTATGATGGCAAGTCACCTCACCTCTCTGGGCCTCAGCTTCTTAATCTTTAAAATGAGGGGGCTGGACTAGATGACTCAAAGTTCCTTTCCACTTCCAAATCTGTGATTTCTGCAAATATTTGTCTCTGGACATACTTAAAGGTTGAGTTTTAAGTTTTGCATGGAATTTGTTTGTTTTTCTAATTGGAGTCAACAAATACTTTTTCTAGTTATACTATCTAGTAATACTATCTACTATGTGTGAAACACTATGTTTAGTATTCAAAGACCAAGACCATATCCCTTTCTTCAAAATGCCTTGAGGGCAGGGGCTATCTTTTGTCTCTTTTTGTAACCCTAGTATTTAGCACAGTATCTGGCCCACAGGAGGTGCTTAAAGTTTATTTTATTGTACAGTTTAGTAGGAAGTATAAGAAAGGGACACAAATAACTAGTGAAATAAGAGAGGTACAAAATTTTTGGTGTGCCTTATTTATAATGGCATCTAGATATAATGGGTATATCTAGATGATTAATTATATTGTCTCTAGCATTGGAAAAATTTGCCCTCATCCATAGCAGCATGGTATAGTAAAAAAATAAAAGTACTAAATGTTGAGTCAGGAGAGTTGGGTTCAGATCCTGACTCCAATACTTATTAGCTGTGTGACCTTGGGCAATTTGCTTTATTTCTTCAAGCCCATTTCCTCCTCAAAAATGAGAATGATAATACTTCACTACCTACTTCATAGAGCTGTTAGGAGAAAAGTGCTTAAAAAATCTCAAAGTGCCACTTAAATGTGAACTACTATTAGCTGGCAAGCACATTTCCCGATAGAAAACTACCGTACTTGGTCATGATTCAGTATGGTTGTATATGTATAACTTCTTTCTTGTTTTAAGAAAATCATGTTATAAATATTAATCAAAAAGCAGGACAAAGAAGGCAACCATTGTGGTTCCAGATGTCATGGATTAATTGCAGTTTTCAGCCAAATGTAATACGAAGAAGTTATTCATTAAGAACAAACAAACAAACAAAACTATCCTTAAGCCCATTCCTGTCTCTATTGGTCAAGATTCCCCAAATTATATAGTCAACTTTGGATTCTTTGCAGGAGACTGATATGTACTCTCATTTGGTGGCCTATCTGGGTATGACTCTTGTTTTTTATAACATGATCACCTACTCTGCTTAAGGGTTAGCTTAAATATAATCTTTACTTTATAATAATAATAGTAATAATAATAACTAGTATTTATATAGTGCTTTAAGGTTTGCAAAGTTCTTTAAATGTGTTATCTCATTCGATCCTTACAACAATCCAGTGAGGTAGGTGCTATGATTATTTTTTACAGATGAGGAAACTGAGGTAAACAGGGTAAGTAAATTGTCCAGAGTCACAAGCCTGGTAAATATCTGATGTAGGACTGGAATTCAGGTCTTCCTGACTCCCAAGTCCAGCAGTCTAACCACTACACCATCTAGCTGCCACACTAACTCACCAAGTACTGATATATGAAAACCTATATGCAAATGGAAGTACAAAAACTAATTACAAAACTAAATGTAAAAGATTTTAGGTTTTTTCCTTATTTTGGATTTTTGGGACTACTGGTCCTTTCTATCCCCATGGATGACATTAATTTAAAGAATCAGCATCTCTATTTCTCAGGCATATTAAATTGCTTATTCTGTACTTGAAAGCACTGATATATTGTTATGCCACTGGAATGGAATGTTGTGGAACAAATCCACGTAGTTGCCTAACATAAGACTTTGAAGATAGTAGATAGTCAATCAATATCTGTTGAGTGAATGACTTAATGAAACTCCATGTTAGGACTTGAGGCATGGAATAGAAAACATATGATGAATGTGCTGGAAATATTTTCATGCAATTACTTGGCATATTACAGAATGAGGCACAATATTTATATCAGTTCTACCTCAAAATAGCCACTGATTTAATATTCTAACTACTGAATATCCAAAGTTAAAAATTCATTTTCAAAAATAACTAGAATGGTAGTTCTAAAAACTCAGATATGATCTAAGTGACCTTTGGTCACATATTTCAGAAATTCTATGAGTCAGTTTGGTCAGACTAATCCCCCTGGGCAGCAGTGGAGATGAATGGCCATGTACTTAGAAATAGCTGGAGTAACTTTTAACTCTACAGACAGGCCTGCACAACTTGCAATATAAGGGCCCCCTGGGCCCTCGGCCTGCTTGTGGCAAGCCAAAGGATTTCCTCTACATAGAAAGGATGTTTTCCTCTACATTTTTCCCTGGCCACAGAAATTCTTTGGCATGTGGCAAGCGGTCCAAGGGCTATGAACAGCCGCAGGCCACAAGTTGTGCAGGCCTGTTCTAGGGTAACCACTAAGCATAATCTCTGTGTGCATCTTTACTTGACTTATTCATGACTGGGGCATTCATAAATTCTTTTGGTGTTTGCTTACCCTAGATTGATGCATTTATTCTTTTAGAAATGTTTATTTCCATCTTTTGTTTTTCTATTTCTAAATATATAACCCAATTTCCCTCTCTGGTGGGCTATCCTTTGTAAAAAATAAAATAAAAAAGATAAAAAAGGGGAAAAAAAAGCAGTTCAACAAACTAACACATCAATTGAGTCTAATAATTTATGTAATATTTATTTCAGAGGGACAGTTCTCAAATTTTTTGATCTTAGGACCCCTTTACAACTTAAAAATTATTGAAGACTCCAAAAAACTTTTGTTTATGTGGATTATATAAATAGCTTCTTAATATTATAAAATAGTTTTGAATCCCTCAAAGGGACTTAGGGACCCAGATCCCTGTTGTCCACACCAAAGTATGGTCCAAAGAACATACTTTGAGAACTGCTGTTTCCGAGTATAAAAGGGTCAGATCCAATATTTTGATGCTACTTGGGTGAGTCTACTGTTCTAGAATAGCTGATTAGATCTTGGGTAGCCTTTCAATATCCTGTGGCATTGACTTGAATCAGGGCAAAACGGACAAGGGTACATGGTACCATAGCTCAATAAATGGTACATACACTCAACAAATTTAAACTAGCAAAATTTCCTATGTGCATGACTTTCTTTTAAATCTCCAAATGTACTTCATTTCCTTATCGATGTCACAAAAATTGAATATAAACCCTGTATCCCTATCCCTAAAAAGCATATTGTAAAGATTATTTGATCTAAATCTGTGAGAAATACTAATCTTTTTTTTTTAAGGCAATTGGGGTTAAGTGACTTGCCCAGAGTCACACAGCTAGTAACTGTCAAGTGTTTGGTCTGAGGCTGCATTTGAACTCAGGTCCTCCTGGCTCCAGGGCCGATGCTCTATACACTGTGCCACCTAGCTGCCCCGAGAAAGGCTAATCTTTACATAGCACACAAATACCAGTTGCAATCTTAATTGTTTGGGAAAGGTCATCTTTAATAATCATTCTTATTGGATTTAAATCCTACAGCCATAATCATATCTTTAGAGTCAAATCATACCATACAAGGTTAGAAGCCTGTACTCAAAGTAGATTTCAGTTTCATATTCCATTTGGAATATATATATGTAACACATATTAGGAGAAAAAAAAAGAAAACTGAAATGAGAGGCATGACAATATCATGTATCATTGGATTTGGAATCCGGAAGTCCTGGGTTAAAATCATGCCCCAGACACAGCTGTGTGACCTTAGTAAAGTTACTTAACCTCTCTAGGTCTCAGTTTCCTCATCTGTAAAATGAGGTGCTGGAGTCAATAGTCTCTAAAATCCCCTCTACATCTACAATGATCCTATGAAATCAAGATTTAAGACCCAAGTTAATCCCTTCAGCATTTCAGAGGTGATCATTGCTGATGTCCTTGCTGCAATTTGCTATCTCAGCATATGTAGATGGATAATAGTTGTTTATTCTCAAAAGAGATACACTTCTGGTCAGTGGAAACTCAAAATTTGAATAATATGGATCAAAGGAAGGAGCCATGAAGATAGAGTGTTTAATTTGTGTAACAAAGGACTGATCCAAAATGTAAGACCAGATGCTTACATATGATGGGAAAAATTAATGACTTGTGTAATTCTCAATGTTCCTGGGAATTCTTTGAGGATATAGACTAGTATAAAAACAAATCTCATGGACAATAATGTTACTTTACTTGCTTTTTTCGAACTGGTTCTTTTGGTTTATATTTTATCTGTCTTTTAAAATCTAAGATTTTTAGGTTTTAGTACTGTACAACTCTAAAGGCAACTCCAAAGAAGGGTATGAACAATATTAAAAGCACATCACATTAATAAAGGGGATTGGATTTACTCACCTGATGACGCAAAAAAGGTTTACATTAGCATTGTACAATGAAAAATCAATAAAAATAACCCTGGTCCCTCTAGTGATCCAGCTGTTCAATTTAAGGAAAGTAAACTTCTTTTTGGCCTCAGTCTTCGATACGGGTAAAGTGAACATATATCCTCCATTATCATAAACACCAAAAACTCCCCAGTGCTTAAGAGATGATGTAGAAGGAGAATACTTCCATCTATTAGACAAAGGAATATGACATTGTGAGGTTAGGAGGTCTGATTGAAAAGTATTTCTTTTAAAAATATTTTACTGATATATTTCATGTTTACATTGCCTTGATTCCCGCTATGTATCTTTCCAGAAAGCCATCCTTTATAATAAAGGAAAAGAGAAAAATCACTTGACTCTTGACCTTTGCAAAGAAGTGAGGCAAGGTACCTTCTTATATCTCTTCTTTGGGAGTAAGTTCTTTATAATTTCACAAAATTTATTTTTGATTGCTTTGTGACTATTCTTTCCACTTACACAGTTTTAGTCATTATATATATCGTTTTTTGGTTCTGCCTATTTTACTTAATCTAAGTCCATATGTCTTTCTATACTTCTATATACTCATCATATCCATGTATTTTTTATAGTACAACAATATTCCATTACTTCCATACACCACAATTTGTTTATCCATTTCCCAGTAGATGGGCATCTACTTTGTTTCCAGTTCTTGGCTGCCCCAAAAATTGTTACTGTAACTATTTTGGTGTATATTGAGCCTTCATCTTTCACAGCTAGCCTGCTAATGGTCACATAATATTTACTTTGAAATAATGTTTAATATGGAAAAGTAGAATGAATAATGAATGACTACATCATTTGGAATTAGAGCTTTAGTAATAAATAAATTTAATAAATAATAATAAAAATAAATTTAACAAAACTTTTAAAACACCTTTCTGTATAGCCTTTTTTTTTTTTTTAAACAGTATTCCTTAAGGGCAAATTTGTTCTTACCATTTAACTGAATGCTGATTTTGTGTTTGTGTGTGAAGTCAGGAAAGGAAAAAGAGCTTGAGTATCTCTTCAACCTCAAATTACTAACTCAAAGATGACCTAACTATGCATTTAAAAGTATTTTTATCAATAAGATTATGGTACGTAGCCTAGCATTAAGATAACCCCAACAGTAAAATAATTTGTCTAAAGTACGGTCCTTAAATCCTTTAGTTTTCCCTAAAACAATTACCTTGTTAATAACTTTAACATAGATTATCTTTACTGTTATTTTTTGGGGGGAGGAGTTTGGTCCAGATCTTTAATTCTTAGTAAAAAGGAACTCCCAGCTAAGTGGTAAAGCAGATAGAGTGCTGGGCTTGAAGTCAGGAAGACCCGAGTTCAAATCCAGCCTCAGATACTTATTACTTTGCTTGACTTTGAGCAAGTCATTTAACCTCTGCCTCAGTTCCCTCAACTGTAAAATGGAGATAATAATATCACTTACATAACAGGTTGTTGTTAGGCTCAATTAGATAATATTTGTAAGCTGCTTTCGCATAGTGCCTAGTATGTGGTTTGTTGCTGTTTAGTTGTTTTTCAGTTGTATTCAATTCTTTGACCCCATTTAGAGTTTTCTTGGCAAAGCTACTGGAGTGGTTTGCCATTTCCTTCTCCAGCTCACTTTAAGATGAAGAAACTGAGGCAGACAGTGTTAAGTGACTTGCCCAGGATCACACAGCTAGTTTCTGAGACTGGATTTGAATTCAGGAAGAGGAGTCTTCTTGATTCCAGGCCCAGTGCTTTATCCACTGCACCACCTAGATATCTTAGCACATACTAGGCACTTAATAAAAGCATTTCTTTACCCCTCTTTTTTCCCCTCATTGAGGAAGCAAATCAGCAATTGTTCTGGACCTAAGTGTTAAGAAAGTAGCCTGTGGCATTGAGTGATTAACTTCTATAGTTACTGAAGATTATATGTAGACAACTCCTTTGGCTCTAACCTCTCTTCTAAATTGATTTTCAGATTTGTGGTGTATAATTTATTCAACATTGATTTATATATTGTAAAAAATGGTGCTTCATTTGTAAAAAAATAGCAATTATATTACACTAGTTTAGAGAGCCTACCCCCTCAAGGTGTTTTTTTTTGTTTGTTTGTTCATTTAGAAAGTATTGAAAGGCAGCTGCCTTTTTTGGTATTTAAATCATATTTAGTATATACTCTAGAAACAACATAAATTATTTTGAGAATTTACATAGGATAATAATATCCACTGTGTGATTTTATAACACTTACTCAGGTACCTGTCTAGGGCCAAAATCAGATCGATCTTCATTTTTTATAGTATATCTGTCAAAACATTCATCCATCAAAGATTGAAATTTTGGATAGACAATGCATGAGTTGTTTCGGACTTTAAGCTGTCGAACTCGAGGGACTCCTAGAAGTACATTCTCATAGTAGATGCGGCTGGTGTTTTTCAGTTGATACAAAACCTCTGCATTATACCATGAATCAGAGTACAGACCTTCCAAAAGGGGTCCCTCCATAAACTACGCACAGTGAAAGAAATGTAAAGTTTTACTGCCAACTTAATAACACTGTCTGCTCTCCTAATGCTATAAAAATACTACATAAACCTTAAAATTGCTATACAAATGTCAATTGTTGTTAGCCAAAATGAAATTACGACTGCTGATCAAGCCACTATTCATCTAACCACCGTTTGTGTGACATTACAATTTGGTCCTGAATACACATGGACTAGTGCAGACCACAGCAGGAAACCTACGTCACTTTCTTCATCACCTGACTGGTACATGTTGTTGAGTGGGACAATGAAGGGATTGCACTAGATAGCTGCTGAGGCCATCTCTAAATTTTGAATACTTTGAATCAGCAAAGACAGTCATTTTTGACCTGCAACTAGGACTCCTAAGACTCACACTATTCTTTCCTATTGTAGTGAGAATTTTTGATCTTTTATTTCCTTTTATTATATGGAACTCTGGGCCATTCCTGCTGCAAATTTTGGTTAACAAAGTCTGCCTTCTGTTAATATTAACTTCACTGGACCAAAACTTTTCCCTTGGGATGTGAAAATTTCTTTAAAGCCTTAAAATACCTTAGATAAGAAGCTAGAGGAAGGATCTCAACTGTCCCTGACTGCTTTGCTTCCAGTAAATCTTCCCACTCAATCAGCCTATTTGTAAACTCTGTAAATGTGGTTTAATGTTTAACCTAATTTAGTTTGCCTATAGAGTTTGACAAATATTGTTTCCTTAGAATATGTATGAGATTATGACTCTGTTTAACTAAGTTTGTTCAACTTTTATAACATTGAAGGAAGCACTGGGATTATGAATTTATCTTTTCTTTAACTTTTATGGCCTAAGATGGAATGTATAAGATTGCAATATGGAAAAGAACTATTTCTCTGTCACTCTAACTTAATTTTGCCTATAAGAGGTCTTGTCAGCATCCTAATGATTGTGCAGGTTTTCTCTGAGACCAATACCTATGTTTGAGCATAATAATAAAACCCAGGTTTTTACCTCTATAATTTCTGTGTTGTGGCAAATATATTTTTGGCAGTACTTATATACCATATGAACTCAGAGAGAGGAAATTTCTTCCATATCTTTACCTGGCCCAGACTGGTGTCGAGATTCATTAATAATCTCCCTATAAGAGTATCTTCTGATTTCAGGGCATACTATATATATCCCTGCATGGAGTCAAAACACACTTCTTTTCCAGATAAAGTGAGAATAAAAAGAAAATTGCTTTTATTTTTTTAAAGGAATCTGATCAGGTTAGGAAACTAGTAGTTTAAAAGTAGCTAGGGAGGTTTCATATATATAATCCATGAGACTAGGTGTTGCAGTTGCTGGGATGCTGAGCCTGAAGTCAAGAAGACCTGAATTCAAATCTAGCCCCAGACACTAGTTGTATAACCCTGGGCAAGTAATTTAACATCCGTTTGCCTGTTTCCTCAGCTGTAAAATATGGATAATAACCTACATCAGAGTTGTTGTGAGGATCAAATACGATAATATTTGTGAAGTGCTTAGCATAGTGCTTGGCACATAGTAGGTACTATATAAATGCTTCTTCCCTTTCCCCTTCCTTACTGGTGGTCAAGTGAACCCTTACCTTCCAAAACTCAGTTATGGTGCTAATAGACTTAAAGTTGGTTCTGTCTTCCTCAGGTACAGAAGTTTCCAAAAAGAGGGTTGCTATTACCTTGTTCAAGTAATACATATTTGAGCTTACCATCCCAAAAGTCACTAGAGAGAAAGAATTTAAAAAAAAAAATTTTTTTTAAATCCAGCTTCCTGTGAAATGATACCTCAGTTTTATGCGGTTAGCATATTTCAACATTTTATGTTTAATCCAGGTCCAGTTTATACCAATTTATACACAGTCATTTAACTTCGATTAAATCAGGCAAAATGCCATATTGTTTTGAATACAAGCTCCTCCTATTCCTCTCCACCCCCAATCTGGCTTGAATAAAACCTGTGTCCTACAATTGGCTATTTTTCAGTTTACAGTTATGTATTCTTTGAGTTCTTTATAGGAATGCAGCCTATGTGGTAAATCTTGCCAGGAGATACAAGCTACCTAGGGTGATAATAGTGACGAACTCATAGTTGAGGATCCATGAATTCTAGCAAGTAATGCCCACTTTATAGAGCCCATTTGTCACTTTAAGAATTTAAAAACTACGCACAAAGCCAACACTACCTACAAAGTCAGTTGGCCCACCACCAGTAGAATATACACTTTGAAGATGTTAATGGTGGTGGATTTGCACCCTTTCATCTTCTGTCCTGTCTCATCCTTCTTTGTGGCAAGAGCAGCCATTTTCAGCATTCAAACCATGTTCATAAAACAAAGCAAAGCTAACAAGCAGGGCTAAACCCGTGTGCTCAGCACTATCAATATCTTGTGCTAAATCAGTCAGATGACACATAATTTTAAGTCACCTCCAAATTTACAGCATCAACCCAGGGTCATAATTAATACCACTACCTGTGTACTTACATATACATATGTCTATTAGAAAAATAATGTAGATAAGCAGCTCCTGAAGGGTAGATCTAATTTCCAGTTCTTTTTTATAGGTTGGTTTAAGTTTCAGTGACACTATAAAGCATAAAACAAAGATTTTTCTCTATATAAATAATTTAATAAGAAGCATTAACACAACATTCTAACTTATTCCACTACTATCCAAAATATTCAGCTGAGTTTTGATATTTTATTCCTTAGGTCTGTGAGGCAGGTACAGTTGTGATATTTTATTCCTCTTATCTGTGAGGGTTTATCGTTCCATTTTACAGATGTGGCAAATGCAAAGTTGTCTAAGGCCTTTCAGAAAACTGATGGCAGATCTTATACTAAAACAAAGGTTCAATCACTGGATTGAGCCTGGTCATGATCAGAAATTTTGACGAGGGCCCATCTTAATTGCTACACTTGCAAGGAAAATCTGCTTTTTTGGTCAACTAGCTTTTTAAACTGGTGAAGAGAAGCTGAATCAGTTTAAGGATAGCATATATAGCAGCTGGGTGCCTTTCTATATAAAGTGATGTGGTCAAGGTGATTCTGGAACACTGTTCTTTCTTGTCTCTCTTCTAGGACTACTTAAGAGTGGCAAATAAATAACTGGAGAGGGCAAGAAAAGATTGGGGGGGTGTTACTGGGAGAGGGGTGCAAAACCATCATTTTGGTGAGTGGTGTTGATTTTGGCTTGTCGAGTTTTTTGCTATCCAAGCCAACTGCTGCTATTTTATCTTTGATTTTAGTAACCTCTTGGGGAAGCCAACTAAGGCAAGGCTTCGACCCTAAGACCCAGAGGAACAGGCCATTATACTAAATTTCTGGCAGGGAATGAGGTCCCAAGAGCAGGCACTGGTGGGGGGTTACTCCTGGCTCCCTTCATGTCCCATCCAAAATCCCACCTTCTACAAGGCTGCCTCGAATGCTAGTGCCTACCCTCTGCTGATTACCTCCAGCTTCTCCGGTTTACATCTCGTCTGTTCACAATCGTTTGCACAGACTACGCAGAGCATGGCGTGCTTTCTGCCTTTCTTAGCATCCCCAGCGCTTACCATAACGCCTTAATGAATGCTTGATGACTAACTGGCCACAAGACTAGCTCAATGTGTTTATTATTTAAAACCCACGGGGGGGGGGACCACCTCAGAGCAGAATCTTAAAAGGGCCTTAAGAAACAAGAGTGTTCAAAGTCCCCATTTTACAGATGTGGAAACAGCCTACGAGAAGAAAAGCGACTTGGCCAAAGCCCGTCACTCAGCTGACGTGAAGGGGGCGGGGCCCATTCTGGGCTGTCCCTTTCTCACCAGTGGCTTTCAAGTGCTGTTGCTTGGCTTTAGAAGATTTCACTTTTGCCATAACAGCGTCTGGTGCGTGGGGGATGGTGGTGGTGGTTTCCGGGGCCTTTTGAACCGCCGAGCCTCGGAGCCCGGGCCCCGCCCTCCCCGCGGGGCGGCCTCGCCCGCCTCGTGCCGCGCTTGCGCGCTCCCTCCCACTGAGACCGTTCCAGTCCGACCCCTAGCGCGAGAGCCCGGGAACCGCGTCCGTCCCCGTGGCCCCAAACCCAGCGGAAGTGCGCCTGGGCTCTCCCTCCCGTCTCGGGCCGCTCCCATCCCCACCCAGATGGCTCTTTTCCGCCTCGTGCCGCCCTCATTCACACACTTCCGTACACCCTCCCCACCGGCGTGAGAGCGTGAGCTCAGCCGCCAGCGCTCTCCCTTCCTGCCCCGCCCGTCCCTCCTACAAGCCCCCTCCCCCTCGGGCTGCCGAGCACGCGCACTCCTGCCCTGGGCCTCGCGCCCCGCCCCAGCGCCTCGCGCCACCCCCCAGCTCCCAGCCTCCGCCCCTTTCCCGAAGAACCTGCACTAGAATGAAAAGTTTGGACCCTTTGTGTAGAAAAGCCGACTCCGACCTCCCGGAAATGTGGAGTCTTGTAGGAGGGTCTTCGAGAAGACGGCGGAGGGAGCGAGGAGAGCGTTTATCCCCGAGTCAGGGAGAAGGGCGAGCGAAGGCTTGGTGGCGGATGAAATCCGAAAAGGGCTTGTTGCACCCCGGCCTCTTGGGGAGGCTCCCGGTGTGACGAGCCCCGGCCCCCTGCTGCGGGGGAACAAAAACAAAGCCACTTTGGTCGCAACCCTGAAAGGATGAGGAGGTTGACAAGTTTCCTTGTGGGTGTGGATTTAAAAAAACAAAACAAAAACTTGTCCACGCAGTTGCCAGCGTCAAAAGCAACCAGTGGGTGAAAGGAAAAGATCTAAACTGCAAAAGTTGGATAGTAAATGAGACTAAAGGCAAAAAAGGGGCGGCTGTGTACAGAAAGTCTGGGAAGGGATTTTTTTTTCCTTTTCTCTCACAACCCCGTACAGATTGGGTCACAGCAAGTTTCCTTGTCAGGTTAGGCTGTACATCTTTCAGATGCTGGCTTTTTTTTCTTGGCGTTTTGTAGTGTGAAGGGAATTATGATTTTCATATTAACCGATATGATATGTATAATGAGTGTACTAATAATTTAGATTTTTTGGAATTGCCTCTTCTGGTTTACAAGTCAGAAGCTTAAGATGCAGCTTGGAATGATACATCAAGCCCTTGACGAGGCTCTCACAATTATTGCATTTTTGTGCTTGAGTACCTTAAGTGAATGGAATCGAAGATTGCAGAACCTGTTCTTTTACAGAACTCTGCTTCTGTGACTCACCAAATAATGATCCCCAAAGACCTGAAACAATACTTTTCCCATAGGACTCCAGGACACCTGTGATGAGGGCCTTGTGGACTCATTGTGGTAAACCACTCAGGCCCTGGAAAACAATTGTTTGTAATTCACTTTCTCCACCTCCCTTCCCATTTATGATTTATGTATATAATCTCAGCCTTCACTACAGCAAGGTGGAATTCTGATCAGAATTCCCCATTTGCAGATCTGTTTCTCATAAGGAAACTAGTTAATTAAACTGCTACTTGATGACTTGCACTTTGTCTCTAGCCTGCTCTATTTTGGCATTCCCAGGTTAGAGACTGGCTCAGTAAAATCCTGTTAACAGTAGGGGGTCAAAAAAGTGAGCCAGACTTGTCAGAAATATTTGTGGCAATATTTGGGATGAGGATTTGTCTTTCATTCCCTCAGAAACAACTAGTTCACCTCCTAAAAAGCCTCAGAGACATGTTGTTGTTCAGTTGTTTCTGACTCTTCATGACCCCGTTTGGGGTTTTCTTGGCAAAGATACTGAAGTTGTTTGCCATTTCCTTCTCCGGCTCATTTTACAGATGAAGAAACTGAGGCAAACAGTTAAGTGACTTGCCCAGCGTCACACAGTTAATAAATGTCTGAGGCAGTATTTGAGCTCAGGTTTTCTGATTCTGGGCTTGGCACTCTACTCAGTGTACCACTTAGTGCAGTTATTAAAGTGAACACTTCTTCCTTGACTTTGGCCTTGACTCCTGTGCCCCAAAGAAATCTTATCCAAAGTTAGTACTCAAAAGTGCTGTGGAGTTGTTGACAGATTGTCTGGAAGTGATGCTATTAACGCGGGGGGGGGGGGGGGGGGGGGGGGGGACCCCTGTGCTGTCAGGTTATAACCATGAGTGTGGAAGACCACA